TATAGCTACTCCTGAATAGTGCTTATAGTCAGTAATTGTAATGTAAAATAATAATAAAATGATATTATCATAATATTTTGCTAAAAATATATTAAGTAATACAAAAAATAATAATATATAAATCAGATTGTTTTTAAATTATCYATCTTGTTTATTTTGATTCTTTACCACAGTCCCCATGAATTGAGTATTTTGAAATTTTATTTGAAGCCGCTGATTAAGTGTCAAATCCTTGCCAATCTTAACGTTATGCCAGCGTTTAAAAAACCCAAGTTTAGTTTTATGCTCCAAAATCATTTGGACATAATCAGGTAATTTAAAGACCAAAAGAATAGGACGATCCTTCCCACGATAATGACCAAACCGAGTAACTTCTGGGAACTCGTTATTAAATCCCATATCCGTCAGTAATTCAGTTATTATAGCATTTAGCGTTTTTGGTGTCTCGTACATAGAATCAGGAATGTTGAAAACTAATAAATTCYTAGATCTTTGATACTGTTCGTGGATCTCCGTAGCAGTGTTAAATCTATCACGGTATTGGTAGCTTAATGAGTAATTAATATCAAAAACTGAATTTCTTAGCACAGCAATTTCGCCAGCCATATTATCTTTCTCCATTTTAATTTGAGCCAATTCAGTGTTGAATTGATGTAACGTATCATTAAATTTCTCAYAAGTGACATTTAATGAAGAAACTTTTAATTGGAGWTCTTTTAAGATCTTACTCTGGACTTGCGAACCTTCAAGGGAAGATTTCGAAAAGCTTGAGGTACTCGGTAAATTGTACATATATTTTGACTCACGGTTAGCTTCAACGTAATGTTTGTTTCTCTCGGGATAAGACGTCTTGAGTCGAAATCTATTTTGATCCATATCATCGACTGTATAATTTGGATCTTGAGCGATTTGTACTTAGGTATGTTATATGGTCCAAGTGCTGAGCAAAAAAAAAAAAAATTAAAAGAGGAACAACCACGGCGACGGCATAACAGTGAAATACCTAATAATCTTATCCACCTTTTATTATAGGTGCACTATTATGTATTAGGCAGTAACTTCCTATTCACGCTACGAATTGAATACAATGTATTTGAGAATGCAACACTACTGTAATAGGTACCGAAGTGACACTCTCCGCAGTGAACACACGAGTGTTATGCTACTATAATATTACATTATATTGATATAAATACCTACCGTGAGAAACTTCGATTAGTAGTTTGAGTATTAATATAAATTGTTTCCTGAGTCCGTCTATGATRATATGTAACTTACATAATAGGTATCTACCTACATGGCAATGCKAATGTCTTTATTGAAGAATGCCATTTGGCCTAAAATAAATTACATTTACAATAACCAGAAATGTGATAAATACAGTATATGTAATTTAATACTGATTAGATTTTAATTGCAACGCAGCAGAAATGTATAGGTACCTATATTTTATTATATTTATTTTACACCTAGTGTCTGGCCACTACAGAATTCAATATGGATGCCAGTAAAATTCCGAAAAAATAACAACTGTCAAAAATTCTGGCCAGTATAATCATTTGAGAACTCAAATCCTTAAACTCTTTTAACTAAAAAAAATTATCTAATAATGTTATGTTATACTTAATATTTGGAGCTCAACACTCCAAAATGTATCTACTCACATAAATATTATTATAATATTATGACTATTGGATTAATTWTTATAGCTAGAGCAAAGACTTTCATGAGCTAAAAAATTATCAAATATACATTTAAAAATATGTACTTTTCATCAAATCATTAAAAATATGCGTTTAAWAATGACGCAAAACAATTATGTTTTTCCTTAAATATTTAATTTTAAATTATTTTTCTATGCATTTCGATGTAGTATACCAAACCGATTTGGGATCTTTTTTGAATTTTGGATCTCATTCTTCTTTATTAATTATTAAAAATTGTTTATCATCAATTATTTTATCTATTTGGACAACAAATACGTAGAAGTATATTGTATAAATAAACATTGTGAAAAATTAACTATACACTTAATAATAAAATTATAATA